GTCCGATCAAGATAAAATGTTTATGATATATCAAATACATACAATACCGTGGATTTATATAAAAGAGATTTTTATTGAATTTCTATTATTCAAAATCTTATGGAAGCTGTAGAGACACATGACATGTGGAGGTATAAACTCGTTCCATTAACATGGCTTACAATATTGTTGGCCTCCAAATTGTTAAAGATTAAGGTTGATTTAATATCTTAAATATATCGAATATTAATATCTAGGAGCAACCAAATAGTGAAGCTAAAAATTTTTATGATTTGTTAAGTGTTGCACAACAACCTTTATTGACAACAACCACTATATAACCATTTTGAAAATAATTTAGAATCAAGTTTAAGTATAATGGTAAGTATTAAGTTTATGTATATTATGCCTCATGTTACTTTTAATGCTATGATGAGGGTTGTGGAATAACCTATAGAATGTGAAATGCTTTAGGGCTCCATCAATCTTTAACAATGTTTAGATTCTTCTTTAATATAAAAATCATAAAAAACCTACTTAATATATGCAAATATATGTGTCGAATCAATTAATATAGTGATAGGGTAGAGTATCAATCCCATGAAAAAGATATGCTTACTTGCAATTCACTAGTACTACATATTAAAATTATAACAATTATCTTACTCAAATATAAATAATTATCATGGAGATTCAATCACTTAAATAAATTTATATAAGAATAATGAATACACTATATGGATATAATATTTTAAATTGATGAATGTAAATAATATATTTTTCCTAATGATTCTCTTTTAATTGTGATGATATTTATAGCATATGCTTTCATAGATCAAAGTGTAATGTTTAATATCTTACTCTATTTTAATGGTGAATAATTAGTTGTCTCAATATTCAAAAGTAAAATAAAGTTGTAGTTATATTTCTCGTATATATTATTATTACGGGCTAGAATATACGCGACGATAGAGTTAAAATCTTATGTCTTAGTATTTGCATGAATATCCATCTCACACACTGAGAACACAAAATTTTTTATGTGGAAAATCCTAGAAAGGGGAAAATCACAAGGCCTGCCCCTAATCTGAAATGATTACACCAGTGTTTGGGTAGATTATAATGGGCTGACTCATCCCTGAGGGCGATCATATTACAAATGTCAACTATATGATTGAAATCTAGCAAAAAATAAGGATGAAAGTCCGACGTCACTTGGTGGTTTGGCGGAAGTCCTACGGTACTTGAAAATTCGGGCGTCAATTGGTAGTATGGCAATGGTTTCGTAGAACTTCGGCGTTAGGTGGTGGTCCGACAGAATTCATGTCGTCAGGTGTTGGTCCGCAGAACTCTGTGTGTCAGGTGGTGGTCCGATAGAAGTCTTGACCTCAGGTGGTGGTCCAGTAGAAGTTCAGGCCTTAGGTGGTGGTTCAGCAAAACTTTGGGCCTCAGGTGGTGGACTGCTCAACAACGGTGCCAGGTGGAGGTCCGGCAGAAGTCCGACCTCAAGTGGTGCACCAACAGAACTTCGGACCTCAGGTGGTGGTCTAGTACAACTCTGGACCTTTGGTGGTGGTCCAACACAACATCGATCCTCAGGTGGTGGTCCGTTGTCAGGTGGTGGTCTTGCGGAACTCTAGGTCTTAGGTGGTGGTCTGGTAGAAGTCCGAATCTCAGGTGGTATTTTGATAGAAGTCCATGCCTCAAGGGGTAGTCCGGCGGAACTCCGAGGCTCAGGTGGTGGACTGGCGGAAGTCCAGGTCTTAAGTGATGGTCTGATAGAAGCCTGGGCCTCAGATGGTGGTCCGGCATAACTCCGGACCTTAGGCTGTAGACAGGCTGAACAACGGCACTAGGTGGTTATCCGATAGAAGTTTGGGCCTCATGTGGCGGACTGTAGAACTCTGGGCATTAGGTGGTAGTCCAGTAGAACTAAGGGACTCAGGTGGTGGCCCGACAGAACTGCGGGCCTCAGGTGGTGGTCCAACGGAACTATGGGCCTCAAGTGGTGGATTGGCGGAAGTTCGGGCCTCAGGTGGTGGTCCGGTAAAACTCCGGGCGTTAGGTGGTGGTCCTACGGAACTCCAAGCGGTGGTCGAGGATGAGCTATGGGGCAAGATTGATATCGGATCTCTCTCTTGCTCTCTTACTTTGGGTCCCCTTTTCAAGAGGAAGAATGAGTCTATTTATAGATTCATAGAGTGACATGACCCGGAAATAGGAGGAAGATCAAGGATAAATGGGGAGTGATTTGGATGGACGACCGATGTTGAACACTTAATTGTGGACCGTTCCTTAGACCTTTGAAGGTCTTAATAATGTCAAAATTTCATGATCTTGGGCTCGTTGGATTTTTCTCGTCGAGCTGCTTGATTTGATTATAAACATGTAATGTTTAGAAGCCGTCTGGTAATCCAATTTGTCGTTTGAAACTTTCAACGACGCTTCGGGTCCTTGATTTGGACTCATTTGGGATCGTATTGAGTTGAAATTGGTGTCATTGGGTTCACATTCTCGAGACATTCAGTTCAACTGTAGATTTGTTAAAATTGGAGTTCGGATGGTCCCAATTTTAATTTTGGAAGTTTCCAAGTTGATTTTGCCTCGGGAGTCATACTCGATCATGAAATTTTTTTGGTGATGTA